CCAACCTAACTACCGTACCCTCCGTCTCGTGTATTAGTAATATTGTTGTCTACAATATAAGTAGTACTACTTATTAGTCAAAACAAAAAAAAAAAAATTAGCCTGAGATAATATTAATGATTAAGCAAAGAAAATCAGTGAATCCTTTTAACTTTGTCATTTTAGCATTATACTGTTCATCATAAATAGCTCTGTATCTTCAGTTTACCTCTCTGGACTGTGAATATCTTGAAGGTATCCTAGCTTTGTATTCTCAGTTCATCCAGGGTAGCACCTGGCACATGGTAGGAGCTCAGTAAATATTTGAATCAATGAATGAATGAGGAAGTGAACAAATGAAGTTTCCCTCTTCGTTATTTTCTTCTCTCTCCTTGATTCCTGACAGGTCAGTCAGTCCAAGGCAGATGAAGAAGAGAAACTATTAAGGCCATCTCCTGAAATTTTAGTGTTGGTCACAAATGTGCCTGCTTTTCAGCCAAAACTTTACTTCCTTTTCAAGTACTGCTTATCTCTTTTTTATTTTCAGGTCATAGATGTGACATCGACTTGTCTACTGAAGCCATGTATGCTGCAACCAGACGAGAAGGGTTCAATGATGTGGTGAGAGGAAGAATTCTCTCAGGAAACTTTTTCTTATTAAAAGAGTAAGATAATTAGTTTAGGAATTCCCCCTACTCTTGAGTCTTCAGGAATGAAGTCGTAGCATGTCTGTGAGGTCTTATTAATAGAGATATTTCCTAAGGAAGCAAAATCCTTATGCTTTGAATTAGAAATTATAATTAAAGGCCTGTTCATGGTACTTTTGGTTCTGGTTATTCAAAAACCAAAAAAAAAAAGATAAAAATTGATGCTCTAGCTAAATGATTAGTACAAACTAAGCAGGAAGCTCAGAAGGATTTTAGCCTCATTAAATGTTCCTATTATTTCCACATTGTCTTATTGCTACAAGAGCCTTAAGCAGGGAGTCACATTGGTGTCTCTTGAAAAATGTGGTGAACCAACTCAGTTTTCCCTTGCATTGTGTATCTCTTGCTCTAAGAAAGAATTCTAAATTACTATGACTCCTGCTTAGATTGTCTTCAGTATAAGTTTATTCACCATCTTGTGAATAGGATTAATCTTTCATACCACCAGGTCTGTCTAAGAGGACGTGAGAAGAGTGAAAAAGCAATAGTGGTTGTAAAAAATAGCTTCGTGGAGTTTTTCTATATGCTATATAGGATATACATATATATATAAGGATAGAAAGCATTTTATTCATCTGTGCATCCCCTCAGGGCCAATAGTTAGGATTACTTTTTCCAAAAATATTATTTGAACAGCTACTATGAATAGTAGTATGGAGATGCCTCAAAAAATTAAAAATAGAACTACCATATGATCCAGCAATAGCACTTCTGGGTATATATCTGAAGGAAATGAAGTCCCTACCTCGAAGCATTATTCACAATAGTGAAGACAAGGAAACAACCTAAGTGTCCGTCAACAGATGGATGGATAAAGAAAATGTGGCGTGTATATATTCAAAAGAATATTATTCAAAAGATGTAAGTCCCCCATTTGTGATAACATGGATGGATTTTGAGGGTATTCTCCTAAGTGAAGTTAAGTCAGAGAAAGACAAATACTGTATGATCTCAGTTACATGGAGAATCTTTAAAAAAAAAAAAAAAAAGCCAAACTCACAGAAAGTAGAAGGGTAGTTGCAAGGGGCTGGGGTAAAATGGGACATGTTGGTTAAAGGGTACAAACTTCCACTTATAAGATGAGTTAAATTCTGAGGATCCAATGTACAGCCTAATTACTACAGATAGCAATATTGTATTATATATTTGAAAGTTGCTAAGAGTAGGTATTAAATAGTCTCACCACATACACAGAAAATTGTAATTATGTGAGGTGAAGGATGTGTTAACTAATCTTACTGTGGTAGTCATTTTGCATTATATATGAATATCAAATCATGTTGTACATCTTAAAACTACACAATTTCATATGCCAGTTATATCTCAATAAAGCTGGAAAACAAAACCCAAAAATATTTGATAATGAGGAAATCAAAGGTCTTCACTTATTTGCTTTCCTTCTCTCAGAACTTCCTCCCCTGAATGCCTGCTGTCTAGTATCTGAAATGGTTGTTTCATTTTGTCTAGTTTTCCAGTTGTTTAAAATGGCAAGGTAAATCCTAGCCCTATTACTCCATCATTGCTTTTGAACCATATTTAAAGTAGGAGGAAATTTAGTAGAAAACAGAAATATTTGTTCTCTTACGAAATTCAGGTTTGGGGGATGTTGTTAATTCATTGTTGAACCATCAAATGCTGGGCCAATTATAGGTGATGCCCGCATTCATCTCCCTGCAGATCCTGTGGTCAAATGATAGATAGGACATCTGATATTTCTATAGCATTCTTTAGGATAAAAAAGATTTCACATTTTTATCTCACCATATTTGGTCCTTAGTAAGATTGGAGCTGTTACATCCATTTTTACAGCTGAGGAAACTGATGTTTAGAATTGCTAATACGTTTGCCGCCTTCATTAACAGCTTCAGGAAGATCTAAAGAATATTTTCCTTTTCCCTTTCTTTACATCATTGACTTATGGTCACGCTATGTCAAGATAATTCCTTAATCTTTTCAGTAAATTAAGCGTCTTTTCTTTTTTGGGGGGGTAGTAACCATATCCTTTATTAATATTTTTGATTATCACAATAAGTCTCATTAACATCCATCATCTCATATAGATACAACATTAAAGAAACGGAAAAAATTTTGTGTGATGAGAACTCTTAGGATTTTACCCTCAACAATTTTTGTATAGAACATACAGCAATGTTAATTTTATTTACCGTGTTGTACATTACATCTCTAGCATTTTATTTTATAACTGGTTACCTTTTGTACCTTTTGACTACCTTCATCCAATTCTGCCTCCCCAATCTCTTGCCTCTGATAACAACAGATCTGATCTTTTTTTCTATGAGTTTGTTTGTAAACTATAATTGACCTACAATACTATGTTAGTTCCTGGTACACAACAAAGTGATTTGATATTTCTATGGGTTTCAAAATGATCACCATGAATCTAGTTGTCATCTGTCCCTATTCCGAGATATTACATAATTACTGACTGTATTCCCCACGCTGTATATTTTTATACCTAAAGGTCTGTACCTCAGTCTCTCACCTGTTGCTGTCCTCCCTCTCCCCCCTGCCCCTCTGGCAACCACCTGCAGTGAACATAGGGGTGCATACATCTTTTCAAGTTAGTGTTTTCATTTTCTTTGGTAAATACCCAGAAGTGGAATTGCCAGATCGTGTGGTGGTTCTATATTTAACTTTCTGAGGAATCTCCATACTGTTTTCCACAGTGGCTACACCAACTTACAGTCCTGCGTATAGCACACGAGGGTTCCCTTTTCTCCACATCCACACCAAAACTTGTTATTTGTTGTCTTTGATAATAGCCATTCGGACAAGTGTGAAATGATAACTCATTGTGGTTTTGATTTGCGTTTCCCGGATGACTAGTGATGTTGCACATCTTTTCATGTGCCTGTTGGCCGTCTATATGTCTTCTTTGAAAAAATATCTACTCAGGTCTGCTGCCCATTTTTTAATTGGTTGTTTTTTTGATGCTGAGCTGTATGAGTTCTTTGTATATTTTGGATATTAACCCCTTATCAGATGTATCTTTTGCAAATATCTTCTCCCATTCAGTAGGTGGCCGGAAGCAGCTTTTCTTGAATTTCACATTTCCATTCCTGAGCTATGCCTGTCTATAAAATACAACATTGCAAACACTGCTTACTTTCCCCAGTTTCTGTTTCCAGAGCATGTTTTCTAGCGTTTAATTCTGATGGCATGTTAGAATTTTGCAAAACTTCAGAATCCTTATAATAATTAGAACTATAGATGAAATAAGACATTATTATAATAGAAAGAGGATTGGAATGAGCCTCTAGAGACCTAAGTTCTAGTCCTTCTACCACTGCCAGTCTTTGCAACCTTCAGAGGGTCATTTAATTGCTATGCACTTGATTTTCCTCACCTGAAAATTAATGTTCTGGTTTCATGACGTCCCTGAAAGTGTTAATATTTTGTGATTATATGTGCAGAATTGCTTCTACTGGTGAATTCTGATTAATTAAATTCCAAATATACAAAATTTTTAGAATAACGGCACAGTTGGAACAAAATTCATTTCTATGTGTTGTTAGGACTCTTAGTGGTACCTGCTCCTGAAGGCCAGTGATTCTTTAACAAGCTTTATGCCTGAGAATTGATTCAAAGAAGTAACAAAAAGCCTTTAAAATACCATCTATTTTTTTTCCTCCAGAAACTATGAGAATTATTTTGTCAAAGCACAGAAAGTGAGACGACTCATTGCTAACGATTTTGTGAATGTTTTTAACTCTGGGGTGGATGTCTTGCTAACTCCCACCACCTTGAGCGAGGCAGCGCCATACACGGAGTTCATCAAAGAGGACAACAGAACACGCAGTGCCCAGGATGATATTTTCACACAGGCTGTAAATATGGCAGGTGAGGATCCCTTGAGAACGTTCTGGTTTCCTTCAGATTTTTAGGTGGGCACCCTGGTCTTCAACTTAGGGCCTAGCTAGGTTGTTCCCTAAAGGCAATAGCTTGTTCTTCTGGAATGCTTAGGAATGTGTGTGTGTGTGTCTTATAGACATGAACACATTTGCACTCACCACACACACACATTAATTTTCAAACCTACTGAAAAGTTGAAGAAAGTCATGTAATGAATAACTATATGTCCTTTGCCTAGATTCATTCTTGTTAACATTTTGCCGCATTGCTTTCTCCTGCCTCTCTCTCTCCGCACAAGCGCACACGCACACACACGCACTTTGCTTTTAGGTGAATAATTTGATAGAAACTTTCAACATCATGTCGTTTCACACCTAAATACTTTAGCCTGAATCTTCTAAGAATAAAGACATTCTCCTTCATAATCACAGTTCCATCATCACATCTAAGAAAACTAACATAAATGTAATAATATTCTGAATATAGTTCACATTTAAGTTTTCTCAATTATACCAGAAGTGTCTTTTACAGGTTGTTTTTTCCCCTCATAATTACATTTGTTTGTGATGTCTCTTTAAAGTCTAGAACAATCCCCCAGTTTTTCTATGTTCTTTTTTTTAGGACCACATCAGACTTGTAATTTTTGTTTCAATCATCAAACATAATATAGAAAATTCAAGAAGAGAAGAAAAGTCTATTGTATTTATCTATGCTTTTGTTTTCTCTATTCATTTCTCCCTGATGTAACAAGATCCTTTGTTTTATCGTATCCTGTTTGGAGAAATTCCTTTAGCCGTTTTTTCAGGGTAGGTCTGCTGGCAACCAAGCCTCTTAGCTTTCTTTCTGAGAAGTCTTGATTTTCCTTTCATCTATAAAGGTTATTTTTGCTGGATATAGGTTTCTGGCTCAACAGTTCTTTAGCACTTAGAAAATGCCATGGTACTTCTGGCCTGCATAATTTCTGATAAGAAACTCCCTACTTTTAAAATTTTTTATTTTAAATGACACTGACTTCTTTGAAGAGTCTAGTCCAGTTGCTTGTAGGATGTCTCATGCACAGTCTGGGTTTGTCAGATTGCTTCCTCATGATTGGGTTGAATTAAATATTTTTGGCAGAAATACAACATTTGCTTCATGTCATGAAACAGTTAATGTTGGTTTGTCCCACTTTTAGAAGCTAAGTTGACCCCTTGGTTAAGGAACCTGTCAAATGTTTTCCTTATAAAGGTTTATTTTTCCTCTTATCAATTATAAGCAATTGCTGAGATACTTTGAGACCATGTTCCCAGTAATCTTGAACCCATTTTTAGCATCTATTGATGATCCTTGCCTGAATTATTACGTAGAGAATCACAAAATGCTGGCTTTTCTAATTCTATCACTCTTTCACCATATATTAGCTAGCAGTCTTCTCTAAGAATAGCTTTCGTTTTTTAAAAAAAATTTCAATTACAGCAATTATTGTTATTCTTTTTGATGCCCAGATTGTCCCAAATTTAGTCAACAGTAGTCCCTTCAAGTTGCATGTACCTTTTAGACCCACCCCCCTTTAATTTTTGAAAACTTTCTTATTTTATGTCATAATAAAATATCCAAGGATCTTCTCCTTTCTCTGCCACAAACCTGAAATTAAAACTACCCTGAGCTACCATTTCTCTCATCTAAAGAACTGGCAAAAATTCAAAAGCTCAACAGCACACACTCTATGGTCAAGGCTGTAGGAGAAAAAGCACTCATTTTGCTGATGGGAGTTCAAACAGTTTAACTTTTCTGGAGGGGAATTTGGCAATATCTAATTACATGTATATTTATCTTTCGGTGAAGCAACTTCTCTTCATTTGAGAAACGTTCAAGAATACCAAAAAGAAAAGAAAAAAAAGGTCAAAAGGTAGTTCACTGGGTCAGCTAAATACTGAAAACAATGTAAATCCCCAACTACAGAAGAATGTTTGAATAAATTATGGTAAAAACCACATAGTGGAATACTATGCAGCTATAAAAAGGGGGTTTGACAGTCTCTCAAAGGCTATACAGTGATTTCTAAGATATATTAAGTGAACAAAGGAAGATACAAAAGCATGCATATCATAGAAGGTTTTTGGTTTTTTGAACCTTATCCTGTCTTGTACCTACGAGCACTGGAAAGTGGAAGGGGGCTCTGCTTCTTAGGGTGGAGAATTACTCAACACTTAATGAATCTCTTTCTTTTCCCCAGGATTGCCAGCAGTGAATGTCCCTATGGCCCTCTCAAGCCAAGGGCTGCCAATAGGACTACAGTTTATTGGACGTGCATTTTGTGACCAGCAGCTTCTTACAGTTGCCAAATGGTTTGAAAAACAAGTACAGTTTCCTATTATTCAACTTCAAGAACTAATGGAAGATTGTTCATCAGTCTCTGAAAATGGAAAGTTAGCTTCTGTTTCTCTAAAATAGTAGTGATAACTATATCATGCGAATTTAAATTACTTGTAAAGATTGTTATATTCTAGGAGTCAAGTGATCTTGCTAATCAATTCTTATAATTTGGTTCATTGTCAACACACTCATTCCTTTAATCACTTTAAAAAATTCTTGTGATATAGTTACTTAATTGTAAATAATCTGTCTTCATGTATTAAGCATCCACTAAGTATAAATCAAGTACCAGATTTCTATTATAATACCAAATACATGTTCCTGAGAAATGATGCAGTCTGCAAAAATATTCATTAAAAAGAACAGAGCTTACAGCAAAAAGAAGCTTAGGGGCACACCTCTCAAAACTTGTACATCTTTGTGACCAGTGCACTAATGGAAACAGTAAGTGGTATTCCCCAGAGATAATGTGGGCAGCCCGGCTGACAGGCCACCCAGCATGTGGTAGAGGCCGCCTCAGGGGGTGTCACACATGCACAGAAACAGTGAAATGGGAATATCCTCCCTTGAGTGTGGCAGAGCAGGTGGAAGAGAAGCTGTGAGCACAGGAGGAAGTGCGTGCTGCTGGGCCCCAGGGTCATGCAGATGGGGAGTGTGCCCCTCTGGGGAGAGCCCCAGGTGCAGGCGCTCCTCTTCCTTCTAAGAATAGAGCTGCAGTGACTGTGAAGTTTTTCCCTTTCCTGCTAAAAGCTAAAATTTTACTTCTGCTATTCCAAAGCCCCAAGCCAAGGAACCAGAACAAGTCCACATCACACTGAGTTCATTCCCCTAATTGCCAATCACAGATGAGCTCAGGGAAGTTTTTGTGACCTGACGGACCACACTGGACTCGAAACTTGGTGGGCAGTGGAACATGATTTTAGTGAAAAAGTTTCAAGATAAACAAGATCCAGTTATGAAAAATTGTAGATAATTGGGTGAGGATGCCAAAGAGGGGAAGCCCATGGCCTCCTCCCTTCCCCTAGATTCTCTATTCCGTATAGTTTTCTTACCCTCTTGACTTTCTCTACAAGTGCTCTCTTTTTGGGCCCCTAGAGTGCAAAGAAACATTGATGGGAAGCTGTGTTCAGAATTTGGGGGGAAAAAATCTAGTGAAAAATCATACATTTACCCACCATAAGTTTTCATCATTGGATTTCTTTGTCTTTGCCAGAACACTACTGTCATCTCATGTTGATCAAGTGTTCTAATTTGATACTTATTTATTGTTCATAAGTTTAAGTAGGGAGCTGAATTATTATTTAATAGATTCACTTCGTCTGGTAAGAAAAAATATTTTCTAAATGTGAAGGACATGAAGGGAAAATGTAAGAGGCAGAACCTTCTGAGAACCACTAAAGTGCTGCGTGATAGGAGTTCAGCCGGCCTGGTACTTGTCTTCAACAATGCTTTCCCCCCTGGGACCCTTGCACTCCCACAGACTCCACCTGATAAACTTCAGGTAAAAGTTTTCTGTGCCAGGCCCACAAGGATTCTTATATATTTTGACTGAATCCCTGAATGAGGAAGAAATTCATGAGAAAGAATTGCTTTCCTTTAGAACAAGAGAAAACTCTTAGTTGGAGGAGCTATTATGATGTAAACGGCAAGCAAACAAACCTTTGCCCCAATATTTTTTAATGTGTGTATAATTTGAAATAAAAATTTTTCAAAGAATATTTATGTAATTTCTCTTATTCCTGTATCTCTGCTTGAGTGGCACTAACGATTTGAACTGGAAATAAGGAAGTGAAACATTTACTGTTCTCACATAATAATACCCAACTAGTGTGAAATGATACCTCATCTGTTCTTTCTTTTCCATCTGTACCCGAAATCTCAGAGATCTCATTTTGCCAAATCGCTGTCTGGGAATTTAAGTGGGAAATGGTTTCTGTGTCTCAGTTAATTAAACCCTGAAATTGTTAGCAACCAGGCTGCCAGCACAGAGCATGTCGGAAAGGCGAAGGGGGCTGCAAATGTGAAGTGAGGGCCTTGATAAGACACAGTGAAACGAAGCGAAAGTTAGATTCAACAACAGAAGCATTACTAGACTGAAAAACTGTGATGAGTTCTCAAAACTTGGCACCCCGACGCCAACAGAGCCAAGGGAGAGAGCAAGTGGGGAGACCAGTGTTCCGTATCGGCCACACTTAGCGTTACCAAGATCACTTGAAACCAGGGAGGCAGAATGTTCTCTTTGAATGGCTATTTGACACCAGCTCGTCAGGAACATGGAGGGCCTTGGGCCGCCTAGAAAAGGCAGCATGGTACAGAAGAGAAGATTCTCAAAATGACAAAGATGGTGATTCCTATGAGGAAATCACCTGCACCTGCTCAAGTGGACAAGCAATACCTTTAGGATTTTAGAACAGAATCTGGAGGACAGTGAGAGAGATCTGGATACAGGGCACAAATAAGCCGACCTCCAGGATTCTGCAAACTCACACCCTGTTCCAGTCAAAGTAGGGGAGCAAACTAACGGAGTTTTCACAATAGTTCAATTATGAACTTACATTTATTAACTACTTTTACTGTCCCTGCCTTTCCTCAAATATCTGATGATCTATACCAAGGCTAAACATGTAGTTACCTGTACAAGCCTAGGTAAAATGTATTTGTTGCATCTAGAAGTGCCAGAGGGCAATTTAAAATAGACTTTCCTTAAGTTATTTCATAACTTAAGCAGTGTGTGCACTAGAACAAAACCCTGAAAATTTAATAATGGCAAATAACACAGGAAAAAACCCAGCCAACATTAAATAAAAGTAATTACAGGATTTCAGAGGGGCTTTTCATTTCTTTTTCTTTATACCTCAGTGAAATATAAATCCAAAAGGATTTTAGGCAGTTTATTAAAAATATGTTATTATAGTGGTATAAAAGTAAATAGTTGAGGAAATCACTGAATTGATTTTTTAAAAATAGGGGGAAAGGATAAAACCAGGACTAAGATTAAAGATGAAAATGCTTGTCAAGATATTTATACAGATGCTTAAGGCTGTATAGCACGACATAGTGGGAAATTTCCCAGTAGCTTTCCCAGTGGGTAAGACCACTAGATATAAAAATCGGATAAACCTGGGTTTGAATCCTACTACTGCCATATACAAACTGTGTAACCTGTCTGAGCTGCAGTTTCCTGACCTGTAAAATGGAAGTAATACTTACCCCAAGGGATGGTTGGGAGGATTCAATTTAAATGATGCACTGAAAGCACCTAGCATGATACCTGACAAAATAAGTACTCAAAAGTTTGTAGCCATAAATAAATGCATACAAGCATGACTTGATTATTTTCCTGTGGACACTAGAGATACACATTAAACTAATATGGGCAAATTGCAATTTACTGAAAACTTACACTAGAGACCAGGTATATATAGCTCTCTGATGACCTGGCTTCCTCTGAGGATAAAGTTTAAAATACCTGGAAGAACAGATGGACCGCACATTTTCCATGAGCTTTCGATATAGAATTGGCTAACGCACCTGGAGGTCTTTTAAAAGGCCCCTGTGCTCTGCTAATCAAGTGAAGAGCAGGAGTGACATATATTTTTCAAGAATGAAGACTCCCAAAATGTGGTCAGCCCTCATCCTGTGGGAAAAATGCTTTCAACAGAGCCAAGTCCTTCCTCATAAAACTCAGTTCTACTCCAACACATAGATACATAGATTGCTAAATGACCCGAAATACTACATCATAGCTGCAATTATTTTAATATGGGTAAAAATAAGGTTGGTGTTACCTACATCCAGCTAGTCTAGCATCAGGGGAAAGAAGTTAATCAAATACTCATGGGACATCTGATGGTAAGCAATTTCACTCCTTGGTGAATTTTCCAAGACAGATTATCCACAAAATGGACCTGCAGAATAATATGACAGAATTGGTGTCAGGTATCTGCCACGATGAAAATTGACAATTTTAGCATAGTTCATAAAGCAGGACTAGTTGTCTTTAGAGGCCAATCATAGTATAGAATTACTTTTCTGTTTTCTGTGAGAGGAGTGTAGGCATCTAAATCCAAAACTTGTTTCAAGTCACTAACATGCAAGCTAAAACAATGTGAGCCTGGAATTCAGAGGTTTAAGGCATACAGTAACCAAATAAATTCTAATACAGTACACTATTAGAACCATTCTATTGCAAGTCATGTAAAAATGACATGGAGTATCAAATTACATGTGAATTACTTTCTCAGCTATACCAGTTTAGTTCTCCATGGAAATGACCACTAAGATGCAAGTAATCAGTGCAGCATTATGGTAGTGTTAATGGAGAAAGAACCGAGATATTATAATGTGAAAATTAGAAGAATTTAGAGCTGAGTTGGATTCAACGGTATGGGAGAAAAGAGGAAAGATACAGGATTTTAGTACTAAAAAAATTGCTCTCAACTAGGAAAACGATGTTAACCTTAATAAAAACAAGAAAAGCAAGAGTGGTTTGTAGGAGCTGAAGATGAATTTCACAATCAAGGGAAAACACTTAACAGGTAATGAGAAAAGAGGGAAGTAAGAGTCAGGGCAGGTAGTAAAGTCTTGATTGGATCTCTTCTTCCTTCCCCCATGTTTTATTATGGAATTTTTCAAATATAAAGCAGTGAAAACTCATATACTACCTATATTCTACCATTTACATTTTAAAATATTTTACCACATATCTATCCTTCTATTATCCCTATTCATCCATTAGTCCACCTTATTTTCAAAAGATATACCTCGAAGTGCACTTTACCCTAAACACTTAGGCATACCTATCATTAACTTGGGTTCAATATTTGTTTTTTAAGCACAACTTAGATACAGTGAAATGCATGAACCTTCAGTGTATATTCCCTGAGTTTTGACAAGTGCATACACCTGTGTAACCCTAACCCCTGCCAACACGTAGACCATTTCTGTAATTTCTGTGCCCCCGGACAGTTTCCTCATGCCCTTTCCTACTCTATCCCTGCTCCCATCCCTCCAGAGACTACTATTCTTTTTTTCCCAACAGTTTAGTTTTGCTTATTCCAGAATTTCATGTGAATGTAATCTGTATTGGGTCACCTAAAAGATTATTAGGGAAATGTAAGATCTCAATTTTTAAATTTGATTTGAAATGACTCTAAGAGATATTCTTTTTCAAGTTACAAAGGTAATGCATGTTCCCTGGTAGGGTGGGGCAGGGTGGGGGACACACAAAAAAAGAAAAGAAAAATCACTTATTATCTCACCATCTAGATGTATGTATATGTATATACATATATACTTCTATTAATAAAAATGGTGTCATACTCTACACAGTTGTGCAACCACTACCACTAGATGCCAGCACTTTTTTTTTTTAA